ACACACACACACACGCATAATCTTATCAGTTTCAGTTTTTTCTTCAATAGGAATACAAAAAAACGCATTAACGCAAGAAAAACAGAAAAAATTATAAAAGATAGCTTTCAAAAAATGCAGTGCTGTTAATTTAGGATGAGCCAATCAGTTATATGGAAAAGTATGCTGGAGAAGTGGAAGAGTATATGAAGCTGTGTTTTCCAAACGTACGTGGACGTGGTCGTCCAATACATGGCAATCGCCCTACAGCTTCTCCATCTTCGCCAAAAAGCACGGATTCGAATGGTTCCAGGCGTGGCAGCGTCACCTCTGTCCAGTCAAATGGTAGCAGCGGGGTAATCATTTTTATCACTGGTATTTCCGAATCAACATTTTTGAAGAAATAGCGATCGCTCGGATAATAAGGAGTTTCTTGATTAAGGAGTTTTTGGCTCTTCTAAGATATTTTGACTTTTAAGGAGTTGTTTCTTTTAAAGAATTATCAGTAGTTTCGGGATTTAAAAAAGATAAAGCTGAGTTCTGCCATACCGGAAGTGGGAAGTTAGGGCGAAGGGAGTAGGTGAGGATAAGAGTGAAGGAACAAGGACTCTGTGTGCCCTCTTGTTGTATCCAGCTTACGATGAAGTGATAAAGAAGGCAAAAAAACCTCGGGAGTGCTCACGAAGTAATTATTAATTACTTCCGAATCTTCCGGACATCAGTTTCTTGTTTCCGATGTTGGAATTTCCTTTGTTTTTATTTATTCAAATCGAAACCCAGTAGATGTAGTGCCCCTGTTGTACAGAGGAAGATTGAGGAAAGGGCGGAGGTTTCAATTTAGCAATGGGACAGCCATCTCGATTCGTTCATTCGCTTCGGCGACAGTTGGTACCGATGTTTGCCAGAGAGCCAAACTGGCCATCAGGTTGCTTTTAAACAACCCTCGAGAAAGGGAGTCATCGATAGTCTCGCCAGCGTGAGATTGTTTTGGCGCATACTACCCCTCAGGCTACTTTCCGGGCGCCTCTGTCTCTCATAAAGAGCGAAACCGAGATATTTTGATGTAATTAAACAGTGCTATGTACCTTGTTGCTTCCGAGTTTTTACAAGTTGTCTTCAGTTCATGAATTATCAGGAAAATAGTACAGAGTTATCAGAAAAACTCCAGTTCATGAATTATCAGAAAAATATTCCTTGATTAAGATTTGCTTTGACCTCATCCGCGTCTGGAGCAGTAACCCAGACTGCCTTAAGAAGTTCGTACGGAATCTTACTTTTCTACTTATTTGCTTTCTCAATTTTCAATGGAAGTTTTATCAAGTCTTTTCAAAGTGTAGGTTAAAGGAATTCGTGTAACTAAGATCGGTTTCAGGGTCGCTACACGCACAGCCATCGTCGAAAGGGTGCGAAACATCCAGCACAAACGCGAATCGACGAACTCCTCGCAATGGCAAGTGCTAAACGGATCAAGAAGGATCATGATCATGACAGCAAAAAGTTTGGCATTTCATGATGTTAGAATAATTCACGAATGCGGTAAATGAACGGGCTGAACTTCTGTAACCCCCTCAGTCCTCTAACCGGCGAATGTGACTGGAACGATCGTGGGTGGTGAAATTTGTTCCTGACGGGGGGGGGGGG